ATATATATATATATATATATATTTGTCCTTTTGTGGTCTTATGAGCATTGGTTAATATTTTTAAGGTGGGGCATTTGGGTTGCTTTTGAGGTGGCTTGTTCTTCGGCATGAAGATGGAATGTCCTTGGTTGTCATGAGAATATGGTGGACTTTAGACTTTGAGCTTGGCATGAGGGCTTGGGTGGATAAGTCTTCATCATGAGGGTTTTGGTTTGGCTTGGGCTTTGGGTTTAACATGAAAGCGGGTCATCATTTTTGGGCAAATCCAAAAGGGTGGATGGATTGGACTAAAGATAGCTTGGATTTGTCTTATTTATCTTGAGACGAATTTGGATTATTTGGTCATAAGACTTAGGCTTTGGACCTATTTCTTTTATGTGAGGGCTAAGTTTGGATTAATTTTGTGTCACGAGGATTTGATTTGGATTAAATTTGATTTAAGTGTACTTGGGTTTTGGTTTTGCCATGGAAATATTTTCTCACCTTTGGAAAGTACAAAAAGTGTCATTATGGGTGCTTACATGTGGTTATCCTTAGAGTTTGATGGCTTGATGATTTGCATGAAACTTAGCATGGCTTAGTGGTTTGCATGTGACTTCACGTAGCTTGGTGGCTTATCATGAGAATGAAGTTCGATGGATTTTTTGTTTGTCTTATTTGAAACAAATTTTTGTAATTTTGTCATGAGATAAATTTTGATTATTAGTCACGAGATTTAGGGTGTACTTGAGGTGGCGCTGCGGTGCCACATTGAAGTTTTTTATGTTTAGAAAAATTTTATTTTGTTCGTTTTTTCAAAAATTGTAGCTGAAAGTTGTGTTTTGCCACCGGACTTGACTACTTAATATTACTACTAGAATGTTGTGGTTTGACTTTTTCAAAAAAAATAAAATTTTTACAATAGCCATTGTAGCTTTTGAATAGTAGTTTTTTCTGCAGCAGCTTCACAGCTGCAGCTGCCTCAAACAAGTGAAGCTGCAGCTGCCCCAAACAAACCATTAGGTTTG